ACAATGCGGGAAAAAATGGCGCCCACGCGGGAAAGAAATATTTTCCGAAAAAGTTTTGGAGGAGAGAGGAGAGAGAGAGAGAGCAAATTGAGGGTCAGATTCTAGTACAACAGATTCACTTAGAATTGCTTTTTCTGAGCCATTAGATTAAATCCAACGGTGTTCTCAAAAAGAAGTTCTCAAAAAGAAGTTCCCACCAGAGAACAGCCCTTTTATTTTTCCATCTTTGGGCCCTTTGTCGTAGAGACTATCTTTGGACAAAAGTAGCATGTGCCAAGTCTATCTTGCGTTCGCATGGGCCACTATTAACGAAATTAGCCCGTTGTTTTTTGGGGAGAGGCTAATGAGGTGTTAGAAGGATATTCGAGCACGCCAATCCCCACATGATTTCTTTATGGTATCTGTATGCCACTTTATGCCGCGACCCGTATTTAGGATGGTGAGATTGAATTCCTTAAATACCCTCCTCACTTTAAACTCCTCTCAACTCATCGTTATAGCCTCCACACGCCGCCATTTCACGCTTCATATCTTCGTCCATTCAGTACTTGCAGAGCGGTTTTCTAGTGGTGGGTAAAGAAAATCAGAATTTGTTTTCTAGTTTGTCACTTACATTATCTAGTTACTCGTTTTACCAAACTCGCTTGTTTTTTCTTCCTTTTCGTTTGCGTGTAACAGCAATTCTATGTCTATGGCATCTATTCGGCCTGTAAATCGGGGTGATATTGCGGAACGCTTTGGCGCGCCTCCAATGTCTAGCGGTAAAGGCTCTTTGTTTCACTTCACCCCACAAGCTGAGAGCCAGAAGAAGACTAAGAAAGCGTAAGAACTCTAATTTTTTTTTTTTATTCTCTTTTTCTGATTTAGATCAGGTTGGAGTGTTAGATTTTGACCGTAATTTGACAAATTCAGCAATTCAATCAACTGTTCTTATCTGTATCTCTGCATATGTTGATTCATCACGTTTTCTTTAATGCATTGTCAATGTTAGTGGGTTTTGAGAAATTTACGTGTTTGGGCATTTTATCTTTTTTGGAATTTCAGCACTACTTACAAGTGACTGTGAATGACGCAGCCACATGTGATTGCCCCCACTGGCTCTTTTGTATCCTTTATATTTGGAGGGTTTGAAGATTAGGCCCTACTATCTTCCTGGAATTGTCACTGCTTTTCTCCCTGTTTGATGAAATGCCTTAAAGGCATCTTGTTGTCAAACTTCAGTTCCCCTAATTTACACCACCAAACATTCAACATTGCATATACATATATAGTTAAATGCTGAAACAATATTGACACGATTTATCTGAAGCCGAAGCTTCAAGGAAGGCCGCTGATTAGCTAGATCAGACACTCCTACTGTTGCAGCCTTCAGATACAGCTTTTTATCATTTGGGGTTTCCTTCTGAAAACATGCATTGGTGTTTGCAAAATTAAGTACTTCATAGGTCTTAGGTATTCATATGCTTTCTGTAGTGGTTCTGTTAATTAGTTGTTTGATGGTTTCTGTATCCTTGCGGTATATCTAACAACAATAAGTGCATGAATTGTGGATATCATCAACATATTATATTGCTCTTATTGTGTCTCTCCTTTGTCTTGATCAAAAATTTAATTCAAGTGTTCAACTATTACCTCTGCATAAGCAGAGTAGAGGAGGTTTTCTCTCATGCACATGGGTTAGTTGCAGCTAAGGGCACATGAATTACTTCAGCAATTAGATTGAAGGTGATGAGAGTGCAGTTGACGTTGGGTTTTAGGATTGTCGGACTATAGTCCGACAATCCTAAAACCCAACGTCAACTGCACTCTCATCACCTTCAATCTAATTGCTGAAGTAACTCATCCGCAACTCTGTGCATGAAAGAAAAGCTCGTGAAGGTAGAACCCTTGGTTACCACTCTGTTGTCTTCGAATTTCTACATTTTCTTCAATGTCACAGCCTGGGCCCTGCCACTTCACGCCACAGTCCGTCTTCTGCAATACTGGTGAGTTTTCGCACACATTCTTTCCTTTCTATTTCATAGATTCCAAAATTTATATCTTGCGTGGTTTATTAACTCAGTTTTGTATATGGAACCAAAAGAACAAATAAAGGTGATATTCATTATCTACATAGTGTAATCTACAAGGTGCATTCTTGGTCTCACAGTTTTGCTTGGTTTCTCCAAGACAGACATGGTTTTGGTTGGACTAATATTCTGAATAATTACTTTCCTGCCTGCCTTGTATTCCTGGTTCTACAAATTTTTTCTATTATTACTTGCTTGCGCTTGTTGTGTACTTGTAGTGTCCAAATGATGTTCCGAATAATTACATATTTATGAGAATGCTGATTTAATTTGTATATGTTATGATTCAACATTTCTCCTTTTTAAAATTATTTTCTGGGTTGTGTATATCTCGACTGTGTCTATTCAGCCTCCACAAAGTAGTATTCAGGATGGATATGGGATGGATCTGAGTTCAAGTGGTACAGAATCACGTGCTGGTCATGTTGAGCCCCAAGTTGTTGAAAATGCCCCCGCAGAAAGTTCCCCTGGAACTGGAAGTACATCAGACAACCAAACATTACGCAGATTTAAGGAAAAGTAAGAAGCTTTATTGATTCATACCTCTCCTTTAACCAATTGTCAGCTGATTTTGAGAAAGTTAGTCCTTTGAACGGTTTATCTGTTTGGAATATCTACCAAATTTGGTGTTTAACAATAACTGTACCTGATATTTCTCATCTCTTGCTCTATTCCGTATTTTTTGTAGTTGTTTAATTAAGAAAGCTGCAAGAGTAATAACTAGGTAACTGTACGTGAAATTCATTGATACCACTCTGGGTCTACTTCGTTGTCGATGTAGAGAATTTCTTTTCATATTTTGGAAATATCTTCTGAAAGCCTACAGTGTTGGTGTTTTTAAATGAACTGCTTTGATTTTTATATGCTTTATGCTGTATTCATGTTAATTGGCTACTGATCTTTTTCTGATTTGGGACCTTTTGTTATTACTGTGTGGCTGTGTTTGGTGCCTATGATTGGATTGGATTGGATAACTCAGTAGATTCAAGGTATGTTGAAGGAAGAAATGGAGGCCATCTTCCACACTTGGTCCAAGTTGGAGGTAGAAGATGGATTAGTAATGAAGGAAACCTTATAACTTCCCACACGATGAAAAATTGCTCTTCCTTCATTTTTTATTTCAACATACCTTGAATCTAATAAGGTATCCAATCCAATCCTAGGCAACAAACGTGGTCTACGCTTGTAAACTTTTTGTCACTTTTATGTTCTTTGATATTATGGCACCAAGAATTTCTCATCATCATTTTTTTTCATAACTTGTTGTCAACTATGCCTCTGCAGAATCACCAGGATGTTCAGATGTTCAAGTAGTTGAAACAAAAGCTGGCACGTTTGACTCAAAAGTGCTTGCCTGAGGAAAAGAAGATTCAACATTTTTACGGCATTTCTTAGCATGCAGTTTTGAGGAGAGTTCCAGTTTTGATTACTGAGGTTGAATCAGCTGACAAAGTGGAGTTCTGGGTTTTCAAAAAATAAAAAAAAATAAAAAAAAATAAAAAAAACCAAAAAAAAAATCAAAAATTACTGAGGTTGAATTTATAGATATTGTGTTTAGTATGCTGCTAAATTATTTGTATTCCCCGAGTTCATTCTTGTGTTTAATTTCC